ACCATCACTGGGAGGAATGGTTTGGCACCAGAAGACTCTTCAATGTCAGAGAGAGGCAGAACAAAAAGCAGCAGCTGAAGCTGCCAAAGTCCAAGTGAAAAGCAGACGTGCACACTGGCACAGGGGGGATGAGCAGCTCAAACAAACTGCCAGGGGACATGACAGTGTTTCTCTCACTCCGTGAAGAGCAGTCTCATCCCTCTGGTGATGTCTCAGCCAGAATATTCCATAATCAGGCACAGAGTATGAAGTTAATCCAATGATATTTGTTATGCTGTTAGAGCCCCTTAGATTTCAGGTTTTTCTTACTCCTTGGATGAGGCCTAGGACACTGTCCCAGGGTACAGGCTAATGAAGAATCCATAAGATGAAGCCTAAAGGTGCTGCTTGGCCCCCTCACAGAGCCCCTGAGTGCTGGTGCCTCCCAGCTCTGCTCTGTGGGTTGATTCTGATCACTTGCTGCTCCCCTCTCATCCTCCCAGGAGAAGAGCTGTGGTGGGGCTGGTGGCTCTCATGTCTGGTGAGCCTAGTGAGACCATGGGGTGATTCAGGCAGATGGAGTTCCAGGAACAGTGAGGAGATGCTGCAGAGGCCTCAGGGACATTGTACCAGAGTTGCCCAGAGAAGCTGTGGCTGCCCCATCCCTGGAAGTGTCCAAGGCCAGCTTGGGTGGCACTTGGAGCAACCTGGGATGGTGGAAGGTGTCCCTGCTCATGGCAGGGGCTGGAACGAGATGAGCTTGAAATTTAGAATTCTATCACGTGGAGATCCCAGAGCTTCATACACCATGGTGGGACAGGCAGCTCCAGTGCCACCCTGTGCCCTTGGGGACGCTGCCCATGACCTGCCTCGCTGGCAAAGAGCTGAGCTGTGAGCCCAGAGAAGGGAGGTGGAGGCCCTTGGCTGTGGCCTCCTGTGAGGAGAGGGCTGGTGTGAGGGAAGGTGTGGCTGAAGGGTACCAGTTTGCTTGAACTGCTGGAAGTTGTCAGCCTGACTCAAAGGAGTAATTGTTGTTGCTGTTGGTATCAGATGACGTAGCTTACTGGTCAGCAGATCAGCTGAGAAGCTGTGAGGCACTGGGTGAAACAGGGAAATTATTTGGGCAGGTAATAAACCTAAGTGTAATATAAACATATCAGTGCTATGGATTTTACACACAGACACAGGAATGCAGAACAGCTCTCAGTGGTGTATATAGCACAGGGACATCAGTAATGAGCCCTCTGAGGGCTTGCTCTTCACATCTGTGTATTTTAGTCCAAGGGAAGCTTAAACCTAATGGCCAAGTGCTTAATTTCCTCCTCCATCACAGCCTCTCTGCCTGCCCTTGCAGGGTGTGGTGGGGTCATCCAAGCCACTCCCCCAGCAGGAAGGGGGAGAGGCTGGAAAAGCAAAAGCAGGAAAATTGGAGGGCTGAGAGAAAGACTCCTCACCTTGTCGCATCGGGGCAGGAGAGCAGGAGGGGCCGTGGGTGTCCCTGCCAGGCTCACCCCTCTCCCCTGCAGCCACAGACCCTCAGGCAGGTGGAAATGACCTTGCCAGATACCAACTGCCCCGGGGGTAACGTGCCGCTGCCTCACCCAGAAGCGCTCACATCATTCCAGCCGGGATCAGTCACGGCCCAGGAATGCTCCGGCATTTCCGCGGCTTCTCTCCCGCAGCAGTCGCGGCTCCCTCGCTCAGCTCGGCGCCAGCAGGGGGGAAACTGAGGCACGGTCAGGTGGGGCTGTGCCTCCCGTGTCACCAGGCACGGCTGGAAACATCTGGAAAGCCAAGAGAGGAACAAATTTAAGTCATAACACGACTATAGCTGGAGTCTTGCCTGCAGGCAGAGCTCAGCTCAGGTGCTGCTGGGGGAGTTTTATTGATTTTTTTTTTTTTTTAATAACTACTGTGTTCTTTGTCAAGACATTTCATGTTCCTTGAAGTTAAGGGAGTGTGGTGACATGTGAAAGGAAAATTTTATTCTAAAGGTTGGCTTGACATTTGTTTTTCTTCTCTCTTTTTTTAATTTCCCTTTTAATAAGGGTAAAAAGAGGAAGGGAGAACACACAGAATGTTGAGGAAGTGAGATTTTCCACCATATCAACAAAATTCTTCAAAACAATTTTTTTAAAGCAAAACAATAGTCCAAAATATCAGAAAGCAAATCATTGCGGTTTACCAACCACCCTCAGCTTTTTTCTCCCCTCCTCTGAATTTCAGCTCCGGTGACTCCACACGCAGCAGATAAGAGGAGTGACTCTGGGGCACGGGCAGGTGAGCAGGGAGGGAAGAATGTAAACACACATTTTGACTCCAGTGAGTAAAATCCTCCGGAGCTTGACATCACCAGGCCTGTACAGTGTGTGCTCTGGCACAAACACATAGAATTATGGAATCATAGAATCTCAGACTGGTTTGGGTTGGAAGGGACATTAAAGCTCATCTTGATCCAACCCCCTGCTGTGGGCAGGGACACCTCCCACTATCCCAGGCTGCTCCAAGCCCTGTCCAACCTGGCCTTGGACAATTCCCAGGGATCCAGGGGCAACCACAGCTTCTCTGGGCGCCCTGTGCCAGGGCCTCCCCACCCTCTAAGTAAGGAATTTCTTCCCAATATCTAATCTAACCCTGCCCTCTGTCAGGTTAAAACTATCTCCCCTTGTCTTGTCACTATCTGCCCTCTCCCTATCAAAAAGTCCCTCTCCCTCTTTTTGATAAGCCCCCTTAAGATACTGGAAGGGCCCTCATTTATCTAAGCACAATCTCCTCTCTTGCAGTACTGTAGCTGTGCCACAGCGTGCACAGCCAGGCCCAGGGCGCTTTTGTTCAGCTCCTGGTGCAGGAATCCTTTTTATTCACGTTGTGACCTTGGCAGAGCAACTTTGCAGGGCTTAAAATTAACTTCTCTGCAAACAAGGCACATAAATCTCGTTGTCAGGAGAAGCCGTGGCACAGCATGAGGGACTTGTTTTTTGGTGAAGGAGGTTTTTTTTACCCTGAGTTGTCACAGGTGCTGAGTTCCTCTGGGGAGAGGGTGCTGGTGCTAACCCAGGGATGGGGTGGCCCCAATTGTCCACCAAACCCTGAGTCTTTTCCCACTTTCCATGGGGGAAGTGGATTTACTGAAATCTGCTGTAGCTCATGTTGTTTTCAGCCCTTCTGGTAATTTGTTTGGTTTTGCTGGCAGAGCTAAACAGGGGCTGCAGAGACTGATGAAAGGAGGCTGCAAGCTCGTCTTACAAAAAAGAAAAGAGACTGGAGCAAATTGGCGTGCACAGTCTGGGAAAACAAAAGCTAAGGGCAGCACAAGGAGAGCGGAGTGCAGATGGATCCCAGGGTACGCCCTGCGGGAGGAGATGAGCTGCAGGAAGCCTGTCGGGTGTCTGTGGCCTCTGACTACGTGCAGGCTGGAAACAAGGCTCTTAAACACCAGAGGGAGGGCCTGGAAGGGCTTCCCAGCACGAGCCCTGTGTGCCCAGAGCACACAAACTGCTTTACGAGGGGTTTTATGTTGTACCACCCACTCTAAGGCAGCAAGGAGGGTCCCACAGCCCTGTGTGCCCAGGCTGGAGTCACTGCAGGTCCGTGGGAGGATGTCTGTCTGTCCGGCCAGGTCCGGGCTGGGTGTGCTCTGCAGATAAACATCTCCTTTTACACTTATTCATTCTGCCTGTGTACACAGCCTGCTCGCCAGCGGCCGGGAGGTGCCTTTCCCCGGCGCTGCCTTTGGTGAGGGTTTTACAGATGGTTTTTATTCAATCAGGCAGCATTTGGGGGAGGGCACAGCAAGTGTGATGGAGTGTGCTGCTCACCCTCAGCTTCCTGGGACACCCCAATTGGGCCTTCACCTGCTGATCCACAGGGAGCATGGGGCCGTCACTGACTCCTCAGCCCCAGTCCCAGCTTGTCCATCAGGTCTCTCGTATTTGCTTCTTGCCTCACTTAAAGTGATTGGGGTTATAAAAACAGGAGGGGGGGAAAGGTGACAGCTGGGCCCAGAGAATTACAGGGAGGAAATGAGATTAGAGGGAGCAGGGATCACCAGGAGGCAAGGTGGCCCATGCTGGGTAGCCAGCTCCTTCTGCCACAGCCTGACCCTACAACCAGCTCCTTCCTTCACAGCAGTCAGGGATCCGTCAGCTACTCCTTCCATCACAGCCTGACCCCACAATCAGCTCCTTCCCTCACAGCAATCAGGGATCCATCAGCTGCCCCATCCCCCACAGCTTGGCCCCATAACTGGCCCCTTCCCTCATAACAGTGGAAGATCCATTGGCTGTTCCTTCTTTCACAGCCTGGCCCCACAGCTAGCTCCTTCCCTCGTGGCAGTGAGGGGATCCATCAGCTGCCCCTTCCCTCACAGCTCAGTCCCACAACCAGCCCCTTCACTCCCAGCACAGCTGGGCTGCCGGAGCTGCCCTTTCCCTCACAGCCCAGTCCCACAACCGGCTCCGTCCTTCACAGCCTGGCTCCATAAGCAGCTCCTTCCCTCACAGATGTTAGGCACCCGTCACTTGTTTCTTCCCTCATAGTCTGACCCCACCACCGGATCCTTCCCTCACAGCCGTCAGGGATCCATCAGCTGCCCCTTTCCTCACAGCCTGAGCCCTCAGCTGCCTCCTTTACCCTCATACAGTTCAGGGATTCATCAGCTGTTCCTTCCCTCACAGCCCAGTCCCACGACTAGCTCCTTCGCTCACAGCCTGGCTCCATAACCAGCTCCTGGCCTCAGAGAAGTCAGGGATCCATCAGCTGCGCTTCCCTTTCAGCACAGCCCGGCCGCGGCGCTGCCCCGTCCCTCAGACCTTGCCGGTCCCCTCAGACCCTCCCGGTCCCTCAAACTCTCCATGTCCCTCCGACCCTCCGCGTCCCTCAGACCCTCCCGTCCCTCAGCGGGCCGGGCCGGGCCGGGCCGGGGCGGAGCGGAGCGGGCGGCGGGGGGGGCGGCGCGGTGCGGGCCCCGCCCGGCGGGGCAGGGCCAGCCGGGGCCGCAGGTGCCGAGGCTGCGGGCGGAGCGGAGCGGAGCGCAGGGAAAGCGAGCGCAGCGGCCGGGCCGGCGCGGCCATGGGGAAGGTGCAGCTCTTCGAGATCCGCCTGAGCGAGAGCCGCGTCGTGTACAGCCCCGGGGAGCCGCTGGCCGGCACCGTCACCGTGCGGCTCTCGGGCTCGCTGCAGTACCGAGGTGAGCCGGGCCTGCCGTGCCCGCAGCCCGCGGGGCGGTGCGGGTGCCCCGGGGAGGCTCACGGGCTGCCGTGGGGTTGGAGCCGGGCAAGGGCCGGGTTTCCCCCTGCCCGCCGTGGGTCGCGGGGGCTCCGGCGCTGGCACAGCCGCTGCCGCCCCTCCTGCCATGCGGCGGCCCGGGAGGGGCTGATGGGAGCAACCTGCTGAATTATTTCCTCCTCCGCTTCCTCTTACTTTTTCTACTCCCGTCCCGTAAATAAGCAAACACGGTCCCCGCACCCCTCCCGAAACAACCCCGGCAGCCCGCGGAGATGGTGAGTGCCCGAGGTGGCAGCGGGACGTGGTGGAGGAGCCCGGTCCCTCCTTCCCGGAGCCCTGCCGCTTCCCTGCGCTCCGGCATCGGCCCCGAGTCCTGGTGTCCCTGGGCTGGACGGAGCCCAGCAGGCGAATGTGGCAGGGCAGGGCAGGGGGAGGAGGTGGGCGATGCTGTGTCCCGGTGGGCACAGCCCTGCCCCGGCAGGAGGGAGGAGGTGGGCGATGCTGTGTCCTGGCAGGAGGGAGGAGGTGGGCGATGCTGTGTCCCGGCAGGAGGGAGGAGGTGGGCGATGCTGTGTCCCGGCAGGAGGGAGGAGGTGGGCGATGCTGTGTCCCGGCAGCAGGGATGCCCACTCACCTACCCACCCTCTCGCAGGCACCATCAGCCGCGTTGTAACATCTCGGATGAACTCGGCCGTCTGAGTTGTGGCTGAACTAGTCTGGGAGATGCCCAGGCTATGCACAAGGTCCTGTGTGTGCCAGGGGAGAGAGAGCCCGCCGGGCACAGTGGTCTGGGCTGTGTTCCTGGTATTGTGGGGTGGGGTGGGGTGCCTGCTGCTCCACGTGAGACCCAGGCCTCGCTCGTGGCTGGTGCAGTCCATCAGGACAGAGGGGTGGGGATGGACTGCAGGGAAACGAGCTGCTGGGCTCCGATCTTCCAAACCGGGAGCTTCCTCCCCCGCCTTAGAGAAGTCGTTTGCATTTGCAAGTCAGCTTTGTGCTCAGTGCTGTGGAAATGTGAACCGATTGGCTGTTTTTCCCTGAGGTCTTGCTTGCTTCTCTCGTGTGCACGATTCTTCCTTTGTAACAAATTATTAGGGGGGAAAAAAAAGACCAAATAATGTAAAATGCAGTGTGTCTTGAACGGAGATGTCAGCCTGGATGATGGTGCCTACGCTTGCCTGCGTCTTGCTTTTGCAAGCACCTCTCCCAGTTGTCTGCTTTTTGAAAGCTTGTGGTGGAAAAAAGTATCTAGGACAAGTGCAAACTTGTAGCCTGCTTAATTCCTGTCAGAGCAAAACACTTGCAGATCCAGCGTTTATCTCCTCAGAGTACTCCCAGAGGTGCTTCCTCCAGCGAAGATGTTCTTAACGAAGTCTGGCTGACTTCCACCCCCGGCCCATCCCATTGATTTCCACCCCTGTTCCTGAAGGTGCTTTCTGGGAGAGATTAGAGTGTTTCTAAACTAAACTTGAAGAGTTTAGTTGCGCTGCTCCCCTGGCCACAGTTATACCTTGCTGCTGCCTCTACAGCTCCCATCTTGGAGAGGACCTGCCAGGTTCTGCTCTACACCAGCTCCCCTTTGCTTCCTGGTGTGTTTCCCAGTTGTTGTAGGGAGAGGAGAAGGCGTCTCTTTGTTCCAGACCTTCTTTCTGCTTCCTTATTGCTTTGATTCTGTGAAACATCAGGGTCTGGTCTGGTCCCTTGAACCCAGGAGGGGTTTGGATCTGGTGTTTGGTGCTAGTGCAGGGATTTTGTTTAGAGCTGGGGCAGCTGAGCAGGGCTCTAGGAAAGCTGGCAGAAGCACAGAGCCAAAAACTGAGGTGTGTTCCATGTGGCTGTTGCATCTGCTGTGCAGAGGTGACCTGAGCAGCTCTTTTAGGCTGAATTTGCTGTGCATTGGCTTCACAAGCTGGAGCAGAAACTTTCCGTAAGTGTTGTCTGAACTCACCCAGTCAAGTCATGTTGGGATACAAAACCAATATCTGCCAAGTGCAAGGTGGCTCTTTGCTGTGTGTTCCCCCTCCTGCCCTGTAGCTTGTGGTCTCTGGTGTTTAAACCCTCCACACTGGCACTGGGGAATCTCTTGGATTCCTCTCCCTTCTGGATGGAGGAAATGTCTCTATCAGAGGAAGAGGCTCATGTAGCTGCTGAAACACCCTTTAACAGCAATTAACCTGCTGGGAAGAGATCTTAAAGGGAGCAGTCAAACCTCTTGAGCTCCACAGGGATCCCACAACCTCTGGTAGTTTCCATTTCCTGAGCCAGGCAGGCCCGGTGTGGTGAGAGTTCAGGGCTGTGGTGTGTGAGTGACATCACAGGCAGAACAAGCCTGTAGATGACTCTTCACACGGTAACTTTTGGCTCCTGAAAATTGCACCTTCTGAAAGGTGACAACGCAAACAAACAGAGCTCAGTTCTGCCTTGCTAAACGCACTAGAAATCTTGGGTCACAGGACAGCGTAACTGGAGACACACCTTTGGGGATCATAAATGTGTCCGTGCCAGCCCTGCTGACTCGTAATGAAGGCTGTTCAGGAGCACATCATCTTCAGCTGACCTTGTGACGGTGTCACTGGTCCTTGGTGACCCACATGGGCCTTCTGGGGAGGGACACTTCTCCCTCTGGCCGTGCCAGGGTGAAGGACCTTCGCAGAAAACTTTTGAGCCTCAGGGGAGAGCGCTGATGGAAATGGGGAATTCCTAATCATTGTGCCTGGCTCACTGGGTAAATCATCAAACATGGGTGTACAAAGAATAATTAATCTTACAGGAAGCTCGCACAGGGACAGCTGGAGATGGAGTTAATTTGCGGGGAGGGAAGTAAGTTTGTCTGGAGCAGGGCAGGCAGTCCCTGTTGCTGGCAGGAGCTGTGCAGGAACAAAGGCTTGTGCTGCTCGGGGATGCTGGAGCACTTTCCTCTCAACTCTGTGGCTTCCAGGGGAGCTGTGTGGATTATTTCAGTCCCTCTGCCTGTTCAGTAAGGCTTCTCACCAGAACAAGTGTAATGTTAAAATAACAGCCCTCTCTGCCAGGTCACTGAGAGTAAAGAAGCAGCAAGTGCTTTCTGGAACAGATTTCAGCACTTTGCTATTCCCTGCTCTGTTATTTAGCTGTCCAGGTTTATGCAGGGATGACTTGACTTTAAAATCACTCCCTTGAACTACAAAGCTCCAGACACAAGTACCTGTGTCTGTTCACGCTCTCGAAATACAGATACATAATTCCCATTTCTGCAGAGCAGAGAGCCCATGAATTGTAATTTCCTTCTCTGATCTTAAATGTAGTAAATATTCTCACTTCTCATAAGGAGAACAGAGAAAGCTGGTGGTGAAGGGGGATGGGGAGCAGATCAGTTGAATCCTGAGCCGTGTGGCCAAACTAAAAGATGACTTCTGTTCCCTAGGAGGGCAGTAGGAAGAAGTTTGGGTTTGGCTGACACACAAGGTGGTTCTGACGTGTGTGTAACCTGTGCCCTTCCTGAGGGGAAGGGGTGACACCAAAGGACTCTGTTGGCCACCATCCTCCTACCACTTGACCTCTGGTACAGTAGAAAACATTGTTCCTGCAGAAAGGCTGTGGCTTGGGCTGCTTGGGAGAGGATGGATTCAGTCCCTGCTTAGCAAAACTTGGCTCTGCCCTGAGCCAGAAGTTTGTCGTTAAAGGTGGACTTGAAATCTCTGTGCTGGCAGCACAGGTCACCTGCACACCATCGGGTCCCACGGCTGGTCCCTGCTTTGGGATGTGATGTGGGGAGGGAGCACAGCACCCAAGGAGCTGAGCAAGGGCCTGTGGGGTTTGGAAAGCGGGAGCAGCTCCGAAGCTGCCGCTATCCCTGGCAATCCTGGCAGTGCCCAGTGAGGTCCTTGAGCTGCCTGGTATCCGCCAGCAGTGGTGGGTGCCAGGATGAGGCGAGGCTGGCACTGCTGTGCAGGAACGCTCCTGGATGGTTCCGGCAGGCTGGATGGCTCCTGCTCAGGCAGAGGTGGATTAACTTTCCCTCTCATTGTGTGGAGCGAGACAGCGGGGAGCTGTGTGGCCAAGTCTGTCTGAGGCTGGGGAACAAAAGAGGGATTTTTGCTCTCCTGGCTGGCTTGCTGAGAGAGCTCCAGCTCCTCTGGAGTCAATAACCGATCACGAGGTGGGTTTGTGTCTCTTGTCGCTGCCTCTCTGCCGCTCCCCCCGCCCGCGCAGCACTTGTGCTCAGCTGAAAACCTGTTTGCTGCTTTCCTTGGCGAGGAGACGTGCCACGGCCTCCCATCCCTTGTTTAACAAAATGGGAGGATGAGTGGAGTGGAGTTCTGTCTATCTGATTTGCTTCCAAGTGTGACAAACGGGGTGTAAGCGCTTATTCCTTCCCCGGAGCAGCGCAGAGCTGTCAGAGATGTGGCTTGTCTTTCAGGGCTGGAGTCAGGTCGGCGGCAGGGGAGGCTCCTTGGCTGGGACAAAGGAGCCTGTGGGTTTCCATCCCTCTCCTCCTGAGGCAGCTCCCCATCCCTGGCAGGGTTGGGTGAGGAGGAACTGCCAGGGAAGGTGCTGGCTTGGGCCAGCCCCTCTGCTAAGGGATGTGTGGGTGCAGGGATGGGTGCGCTCTGCTTGGCGTGTGTAGTGCAATGTCTTGTTGCTGATAGTCATCCCCAGGGAAGAATCAGGTCTTTAGAAGACACAGAGCTGTCACTTGACTTGCTAGAGGCTCTCATGGCCAGTAAGAGTAGGATGGAGTCTGAGATGAGCTCAGTTGGTTAGAGGATGGCGCTGATATCGTTGTGGGTTTGATCCCCACGTGGGCTTAAGAGCTGAACTTGATGATCCTTGTGGATCCCTTCCAACTCAGAATATTCCATGATTCTGTGACATGTGGACCATCCTCTGTTGTCTGGAGAGGGGATGCTCAGGCTGTTCCAAGAGAAGAAAGTGAGGTGGTTGGGTGTGCTGTGAAGCTGCTGCAGACCTGACCTGTGCCAA